ACCAGGTGAACGCAAACCATTTGTACCATACAGGGACCCTTAGAGAAGGTTGCTGAGTAATAATACAGGAGGCTGGTTGCATTTGAATTTCAGGTAAAAAACAAACAATTCATTACTACAAGTATGTTCCAAATATTGTGTGGTACATACTTACACTAAAAACAACAGCAACAATCCAACTCTGTGTTGTTCACCTAAGGTACCCTATATTTTATTTGGCAGCTCTACTCGGAGATCAATCACGTGACTGTCTGGTTCCCACTTTTTTCCCCCCTTTCTCTGGCAAACTCCAGAAGAGTTTGTGTTGAGAATGCCATCTATTGTGTGGCCTTGGGTTCCTTACTTGAACCACCTAATCAGAGCCTCGGGCCTAGAACATTCCCAGATAACTAAGTTTACCTCTGTCCCAGTTTCTTCTTCCTTATCAGGAAAACTCATTCCCTGTTCTTTGTTCTGCTTCTAGCTTCAGCGTGTGCACCGTATGGCATCTAGACAACCCCCACACTACTTCTGTTCCTGACATGTAGGAACGGGTAAGGTCCCCTAGCCATGGGAGACTCATGCCCATAGGTGTCCAACCAGTGCCTGTGTGAGTTGTGTCTTTCTTGGTGACCTCAGACCTTGACTACCCAGAGAATTCTTACTGTCACCACTGCCATGCCCCTGGCTCCTTGTCTCCCCCATCAGCTAGCTCTCCTGTTAGTACCCCTCTGAAAGAGATTTCAAAAAGGTGACTGCCTTGTAGCTAATTACAGTGCACGTTTTTGGCTATTGCCGCTTTGGCTTCTCAGTGCCCTTACCTCTCTGGCTGTTCTCTCCCATTTGGTGGGTTCCAGTGACTTTTGGCCTCTGTGCTGCCACTCCCATCCTCCACCCCCATGTGACCTGAGGCTACTCTGGCCACCCTTGACCTTAGCATCCCCCTCCTCTTACTTGCTCGCCATTGGGCATCCTGCAGAGTTCAGAATGATGCCTGCCGGTCAGAGTCTCCTGGCTTCTCCCAGATCCTTCTCCAAGGTTCCTTGTTTCTGTGAAGGACACAATTGCCCTCTTGCAGCTGCCCAAGCCTGAAGCCAGGCCTCAGTCATCCACTTCCTTCCAGACCCCTCCTCTCTCAGGACTGCATCTCCCCGTGGAGTTCTGGAGGAGCCTCTGAACCTGGCTTCTCAGTTGAATCAGCGTGTTTCGGTGTAGTCACAATATTGGTTTGCATTACAAATCAGCGGTTCAAACTCAGCAGCTGCTCCTCAGAAACCCAGTACAGGGTTGACATGAGTTGGAGCCAACTCAAAGGTGCTTAACAGCAACAGTAGCATGGATGGGGTTGGACTTATCCATCCCTCAGGGGGATGGTGGGTACTCCATCTTTGAACCTTTTGTCCTAACAGGTGCCTGGTGCTAGGAAGACAACTGGGGGGTTGTTAGCTTAATGGAGTCATTGTGTGTCCAAACTAGCAGCTTCAATGGATTTATGAGAGATACTGTTAGAAGTGCTTTTGATGATTTAATTAAAGTACATCTGTCTGAATCAATATTTGTAAAAAACACAGCATTTAATTTACGAGACGAATGATCCCATTATAGAAAGCAAAAGAAACCCGAAACTTTAAATCTTTAACATATCTCAAAATATCTAATCTTCCATTATTTACAAAGAATGATGCATTACTTTATCATTGGCCTTTTTGCATGATTTGATTTTGGCAGTATAACATAAAATTCAGGAGCTCTGATGGTATAAGAGCTGCTAATGGTAAGAATGGCAGTTCGAACCAAACTAGCTGCTCTGTGGGAGAAAGGCCTCAGGATCTTCTTCAGTAAAGTTAACAACTGAGAACACCCGAAGGGGCACATCAGGCTGCCAGAAGCCAGGATGGCCTCTATGGTACCTAACAACAACAACCACATAACGTTAAAAATAGTTAAAAGGTTCAAAACAAAACTGTTTTCCCCCTTAGGTATTCTTGATTTTCTGTGAAGATGGCAGGTTTATATTTTACGTTGGAGTCCTGTGTTAAAGCATTGGTGGCGATCACTGTCTTAGTCCCACTAAACACAGATCACACATACCCCTATTGCTGTGGTCTGTGGGTACATCCCACCCACACATGGAAACAACTGCTCTGCAGAGGCACCAGACGCCCACTTTAGTAGTCAAACACCCCTCATGTCAAAAGTTTCCATCCATTTCTTCCACTAAAGAGAAAATCAAAATTTGTCTCAGACATAGCCTACATTTGTTTTTATGCATTTTAAGAACCTGTTTCCAACATTTGTATCTCTAAAATTTTAAATTCCTTTTCTTCAGAGAAGGTGTGCCACTATTTTTATGAAATCTAATCGTTAGATTTCCTGAATTAACTCTAAAGGGGGATCATTTTATCCTGTCTCAATTTTCTTTCTTTGGTAACTGTCATTTAGGGGAGAGATGACTCATCCTCCAAGTTCCTGTGTTTTTCTCTTACAACATTCATACCCCATACTGATAAAGATATTGTACAGTTTGTGTAATAAAAACAACTATAGATGGTCTCAGGTTTATACTCTGGGGCAAGTGAGAAATGAGTTGAGTTTTCTTGTATGTGTCTAACACTAGTCTCAATATGACCAGTCCCTTTTCTGGGTGCAAATAATGGACAACAGAAAATGAAGCACCCTGTACCCTAAGCCGAGAGGGGATCCCACTTTAGAATTTATAGCCTCATGGTTTAGAAGGACCACTGTGTTTTTGAAATGGCACTGGTATCCTTCTTAAACTTTGTGTTATAAACCTGTCTTAAAAGGATTGCACTACCAAGGTTTTTTCTCTCCTCCTTGCCAGAACACCAGGTCAACATGATCTAAGGTCATTTGTTATTTGCTCCTAGAGTATTAGGTAGCTTTACCCACAGATCTTTAAAAAAGAAAAGAAAGTTGCCATAGAGTGGATTCAGATTCATGCAGACCCCATAAATGTGTGCAGAGTAGACCTACACTTTGTAGGATTTTCAAGACTGTGACCTTGTCAAGTACTTAACCAATTGCAACACCCAGTGACCCCTCCCACACATTTAGAATGGGTCATTCAAAGTTTTTAAGTGCTGTTGAGTTGGTTCCAACTCACAGCGACCCTGTATAGTGTTTCTGATGATTGGCTGGTGAGTTTGCACCACCGGCCTTATGGTGAGCAGTCCAGTGCCTGTCCCATGTTGCCACATCAGGACATGGATATTCAAATATAATCTCAGATGTTATTATTCGGTAAGGTGTTATTGCTGTTGTCAAGTGCCGTTGAGTCGATTCTGACCCATAGCGACCCTGTACAGGATTTCCAAGGAGCAGCTGGTGAGCTTGAACTGCTGGCCTTGCAGTTCAAACAGGTTTGCAATCTGATGCATTAACCCACAGCGCCACACCAGGACTCCTCTGTAAGGTGTAGTGTGCCCTTTTTTACTCCCAAGAGGAGTGATTTCATGTGGATTGCTAAGATTTCTTGGAAAGTTAAAAAAAAAAATTTTTTTCCCCATGAACATTACCCTCACCTTGTACTATCATAATAAACTTTTTATCAAAATAGTCAAGAAAAAGACAAATGGAAGTATTTCATATATTGCAATACAAAGTATGTATTCCCATGAAGAAATGTTTTCTGGACATTTATGTAATCATGTCATACATCAAAGCATAAGAAAATAATCGTTTAAGGACGAGAAAGAAAGAATACCTGTTATTGCACTACATTTCTTTCAATCAGTTATTTTTTTCAGAATATTGCAAAAGTTTGGATCCCTGGGTGTTCATTTTATTGCTGTGCTCTGAAACTTTGATACATGCTTCATATATTAGTTTAGAGTATTAAATATTATATAAAAACCTATCTAATCTTTGGAGCTACTGTTGTCAGTTTAATCCCCTGTAGATAATTTTTAAAAAGTATAATGTTCAAGTTAGACATTCTTTGCTAGTTAAACTTTACTAATTTTCCACTACTGTTCAGGGACGAGTTTTGGTTGAAGGTTGAAGGACTATCTCTGGACAGTAGTTTTGAGGTTCATCCAGACTCCAAGGCTCAGACAATCTGGTGTACATGAGAAACTACCATTTGATTCTGCACTTTTCCCCTTTTGATCAGGATTCTTCTATGAAATCTTTGATCAAAATATTCAAGACTGCACCATTCAGTTCTGGTCTCATAGCAAAGGAGGCAGTTGTTTATGGAGGCAATTAGTTATCCAGGCTACGAGAGACCAGTTGTTATGCCTTGGATGGCCACTTGCAAGCTTCTAACTCCCCAGGCACCATGCAATGAGCTAGGAAGAACAACTCTGAAAATGGGTGAGAAGCGGTGTACAACTTGAAGAATGTACTCACTGTCACTGAATGGTGTAGGGTATACTATGTATATTCTCAACAGCAACAACAAAATAAATAAAATTGTAAAAAACCCCACACATATATACAATGTTTGTAAGAATGAAAAAAACGTCAGGCTTGGCTCAGAGGAGAGGGAAACAAAGGCAGAAGGTGTGTGGATGAATGGGACCACAGGATACGCAAAGAAAGACCTTTGAAAACTTTCTGATGCCCTTCCTTGAGGTCTGGTATTCTTTTTCTCTGGACACCAGACTGGGGAACTTTTACCATTATCTCCCTAGTAGTGACAAGTTCATTATGCTTAAGCACAAAGAAACAAAAAATGGAGTAGCTTGGATTAAAATGTCAACTGAACTATTGGGCCTACATGAATACATTTCAAATATAAATCTCTTTGGTTTTAAAAATAATAGATATAAATCTCTTTTGGTTTTAAAAAACAAACCCAAGTCTCTTAGGTAGAAAATTCCTTGGGCCTACCAGCTCTGGCTCATCCTCTGTTCTATTAAAAGTGGTACATTTTGAGAGGGCAACTCATTAACGTCAGAGGGTAATCCTATGTATTATCTCGGGAGGTGTTTTGCATTTGAAAAGAACATGAGAGATGGATCACTCCTTTTTCTCTTTTGCTTCTTTGGATTTCTGCTTCAGAGGTCACAGTCCCCTTCTTCTTCTTCTGGAAATCGGCAGCTACAGGCATCTTCCTCCTGGGCAGTTTGTACTGGTTTTATGAAAGCTAGGAAATAATTGAAAAAAGGTGCTTATCTTTTATTGTTTGTTTTAACCATTTAACAATTCGTTTCCACAAACTACCGTCTCAGAACATTTGTAAGTAGCAAACATGCTCAACTTTGATTTCAACAAGACAAGTAGGAGCTTTTTCTCAGATCATTTAAGATTTTATTTCCTTTTACCAACACTTTTTATTGGCTTCTTCAAGACTATTTATTTTCTAAAAGTGGCTAAAATAAATCATGAGCAGGAATCACTACTATCTGAAATGCTAGCCACATACTAAACATGACTGTTGGTTTAGTTCAATATACACATATTTTGATCTTCAGAGTTACTTAGATTAGATATTAGATAGTTTGTTTCTCATGCTTATGGCACCAAGATTTTAAAGATCTGCCCACTACCTTCATCTGTTATTATGAGCTAATGTATGTATTATGAAATGTATATTAACATCCTGGTCCTATTTTACCTGTTGAGAAACATTTGTGTTCCTGCTGATCAAGTTCAATCATCAGCAGGTTTTTCCTTACAGTCTGACAAAACAAAAATCCCTGTCCTAACTTCATGTGCTACTATAAAAAATAGACCCATACCAAAACCCATTCACTGTACTATCTCACCAGTAATTATGAAAATCTGGCAAAACTTTCAGAAATACCAATGAGATGGCTGTTTTCTTTTGGAATAACATGAGTGGAGATATTTCAGAAAGATGGAGGAGTCATGCTTTTCTCTATTTCTTCTGTTCTGTACAGACACAAACGATGACTATTACATGTGAAACAAACCTAACACAACTCTAGAGGCTGAAGAAAAGAAGGCGGTACCAGCCAGTTGACCTCAGAATCCAAGGAACAATGAAGTGATGAGTCCATTGGGAAATCAACAACCTAGAACTGCTAATGGTCATAGGCAAAAAGAGCCCCAAGAAAAGCTTGCGGTCTCTGGTACACTACCAGGAAAGGGGTAGCATAGAAAACAGAAAACTTATAGATAGGAACTGCTCTAGTCCTGTCAAGCACCTCAGAAAAAAAATGGCAGCTTTACTCTCAAAGTCCAAGCAAAGGCCAAATGTAGAGTCTAGCTTGCCACCCTCTACAGGCTGTCACCAGGTCCCCCTCCCCTTCCTCACTGGGCTGTGGCAGAGAAGGACTAGCGGAAAGTCACAACTTTCACTATTACTTGCCGGTAATGAGGCCACCACACATCACACCCTTCAGTGTCAGTGGAAGCCACGAGGGAAGCAGTAACAAGGTGCCCCTCTCCATCGCAGCCCTAGTGGTAGTGGAAGAGGTCTAGTGGGGAGCCTGAATGCCCAGTACACCCAGCAATAACAAGAAGCACCTCACTCCCTGCACCCCAGGAAGTCTAGAGGAGAAGCTCAATGCCCGCCTTGTGCTGACACAAACAAGATGTTATCCTCATTTTACCGCTGGGACAATGTTAGAGGAAGCTGGAGGAAAAGACACAATTTATACCCAAAGTCTCATAATATCCAAAATGTTCAGGTTTTCATTTAAAAATCACATGTTTCAGGGGGCATTTATGTCAATTGGTATAACATAGTTCATAAAGGTAAATGTTCTACATCCTGTTTTGGTGAGTTAGCAACTAGGGGCTTAAAAGCTTTCGAGTGGCCATCTGAGATGTAACTATTGATCTCTTCCTGTTCAGATCAAAGCAGAGTGAAGAAAACCAAAGACTCAAGGAAACAATTAGTCCAAAGGACTAATGGACCACATGAACCCCAAGCTGCTGAAGCCTAAGACCCGAAGAGCTAGATGGTACCCAGCTACTGCTATTGACTGCTATGACCAGGATCACAATAGACAGTTCCAGACAGAGTGAGAGAAAAATGCAGAGCAAAATTCAGAGTCACGAGAAAGACTGGACTTACTGGTCTGATAGAGAATGGAAGAAACCCCAAGACTGGTCTTCACATTCAGAACTGAACCTACTCATGGAGACTTTACAGCTAAAAAATGTTGTTAAGTACCACCTAGTTGGTTCCAACTCATAGCAACCCTGCATATGGTTTCCAAAGATTGGCTGGTGGGTTTGAACCACCAGTCTTGTGACTAGCAGTCCAGTGCTTATCCTATAGCACCATACCAATAGACAGGCCTAGAAAGTGAACAGTGGCAGCCAGGAGGAATGTGCTCCCCAGAGCATTCAACTATAGGCGAGCAAAAGGGTAGCATTTGCCCAAAAGCAAGATTTAGAAGATAGGAGGGACAGGAAAGCTGGATGAATGGAAATGGGAACCCCGTTTTGTAAATGGGAAGAATGTTAATACATTGAAGGGATTGAAACCAAAGTCATGAAACAATCTAGCCATAAATGATTCTAGGAAACAAATTTGCTTTGTAAACTTTCGCCGAAAATAACAATAAAAGATTCAGGGGGGGAAAAGTCACATGCCAAAAAAAAAGTCTAAAAACAGGAATTTCTCAGTTTGAATGAGAAAAGGCAATCAACAGATGTTAGTCCCTGGATGACACAGATGTTAGAATTATCTGGCAAGGATTTTAAAGCAGCCATGATAAAAATGCTTCAACAAGCAATTAGTGAAATTAAAAACTAAAACCAGAAAATCTCTGAAAGGAATAGGAGCTATAAAGAAGAAATAAGGGGAAACTTTAGAGCTGAAAATTAAAATAATGGAAACTTAAAATATCAATGAATGGACTCAAGAGCAGAATGGAAAGGAAAGAAAAATAATTGTTCCCCAATCAGAATATCAAGAGTCCTAGTGTAGCTCTGGAATAATGCGCTGAACCACAAGATTGGTTTGAACTGCAAGGTTGGCAGATCAAATTCACCAGCTGCTCCTCGGAAACCCTATACAGTGTCGCTATGACCCGAAACTGACTTGATGGCACTTAACAACAGTAACAACAAATCTGAATATCAGACATAAATGAATGCAGGGAAAAAATGAGCAGAGCCTCAGAGACATGGGAGACTATAACAAAAGATCTAATATTTATGTCATCCGAGTTCCAGAAAAAGATAGTAGACCTGAAAAAGTATTGAAAGAAAGAATAGCTGAAACTACCTCAAATCTGGAAAAAATGGGTAAATTTTCAGATTTTTTAAAATAAAAAAACTCCAAATAAGATCAGCACAAATCCACAAAGAAAGACACATCATAGTCAAACGTCTAAAAACAAAAAAAGACAAGGAGGAAATCTTAAAAACAGAAGAGAGCAGCAGCATCTTACACACAAAGGAGAAACAACGCCAATGATAATGAACAGCTCATGGGAACCCAGGGAAGCCAGCAGGAAATGGCACGTTTTTCAAGAGCTGAAGGAAAAGAGCTATCAGCCTCGAGTTCTACATACAGTGAAATATCAGGAATGAAGTGGACATCAAGACATTTTCAGATGAAGGAAAAGTTTTAAAAAAAAGGTCACCATCAGCCCTGCCCTAAAAGAATGGCTAAAAATATTCTCTAAACAGAAAGAAAACAATAAAAGAAAAAATAAATGAGAACATCAGAAAAGAAGGAAGAACAAAAAAAGACCCAATATCTGTGTAGAAGCAATAAGATTTCTCTCAAGTTTTCTAAATTAAGTTTTATTGTTGAAGCAAAAATTATAACCCTGTCTAATATAGATCTCCATGTATGCAGAAGAAATATTTTAAAAATGTATATTATAAGTTGGAAGAAGTAAAAGGGCTATAAAGAGAGGTGAGATTTTATACTTCATTCAAATTGGTAAAATGTCAACAGTAGTAAATTGTGTTAAGTTACATCATACCTTGGATATATTAAGAGTTCGGATTACCATAATAAAATATATATTTCAGTAAAACAAGTCATATGCATTTTTTGGTTTTCCCACTGCATATAAACCTGGTGTGGCACTGTAGAATAAGCACTGGACTGCTAACCACAAGGTCTGCAGTTCAAAGACACCAGAAATTCCTCAGAAATCCTATAAAAGGTCACTAGGAGTCAGAACCAACTCCATGGCACTTAACAACAACAAAATCGCATATAAAAGTTATGCTTATAATATGCTGTACTTTATTAAAAAGTGGAGGATCAGAGAAAAAGAGGTAGACCCCCAACAAGATGGATTGGCACAGTGGCAGCCGCAATGTGCTCAAGTGTAGCAGTTATTGTCATGTTGGTGCAGAACCGGGCAAGTGTTTCATTTCGTTATGCATAAGATCACTATGAGTGGGTACCGACTCAGTGACACCTAACAAAAACAGTTTATTAGAAGAGCCAAGGCAATACTATAGGATAAGCACTGGACTACTAACCATAAGGTCAGCAGTTCAAACTCATCAGCTATTCCTCGGGAGAAAGATTGACATGCTCGGAAACCCTGTTCAGGGTCATTATGAGTCTGAATTGGCTCAAAGGCAATACGTCGAGTTGAGCTGTAGTTTATTACGGAGCCATGGTGGTGCAGTGGATTAAATACTGGGTTGCTAAATGAAAGGTCAGAGGTTCAAGCTCACTCTATGGGAAAAAGACAAGGCAGTCTGCTTCTATAAAGATTTCCAGCTTTGGGAAACCCAAGGAGCAACTCTTCTCTATCCTATAGAGTCGCTATGAGCTTGGAATCAACTAGGCAGTAGTGAGTGCTCGCAGGCTGTCTTCTAAGTGTACAATAAAATTATGAACAAGTTTGAGATCTTGTGAAAACTACCGAACCATGATACAGAGACACAAAGTGAGGCCATGCTTTGGGGGAAATGTTGATAGGCTTGTTAAATACAAGGAACCAAGGTTGTAAAATATGCAATATCTGTGAAACCTGATAAAAGCAAACTTAGTAGTATGAGGCATATCTCTAATACTCAACCACTGAAAGAACTATATAAAAGGTACACTCAGTAAAAACCATAAATAAATCACACTGGAATTCTTAAAAATGTTCAGGTTGTCCATTGGAAACCAGGAATTGAAAAACAGAGAAAAACTAAAGAGAACAAACAGAAAATAAATGGTTGATGTAAGCCCTAACATATCAATAA